AGCGCCACGATCGATTACGTCATAGATCAGGCGAAGACCGTTCAACGTCAGCAGAGGATCTTCGCCTCCTTCGGTTACGAGCGTTCAATTGAGTATCACCCCAAAACAGATATTCGGCACATCGTTGCTCAGCTTCGTGAGCTGAGCTTTCGCCTTTCGTTCTACTGTGAGATGGTCGATAGATGAATTGAATTTCAAGTTGGATTCACATCGGTTGATGAGGCTAGTTGTTGATGTACCACTGCGGGACTTTGTTGAGCCTTATTTGTCAACTAGTTATCCACTTTCTGTGACACCTATATGGCTCGAGGATATACTCTGCTGATTACTCTCATCTGGTGGTCTCTACTAACCAACGCTGACCAACCTCCTGTTCTACGTCGTGTCAAGGATTACCCGATACCGTGTCAGACCACTGATTGTCCTGGTGGCTGTGATTGGTGGTGCCAGTGCGTGGTACTTTCAGTTCCCGCAAAAAAGTGCATTTGTCTATGCGATCACTAGCTTTTAATATGCTCCACTTTTTCGCATCGTACTTGGTGGTAATTGCTGCATTTGAGATTTCATTTCTCGATAGAGTGACAGGGAGCTCTTGAAGTGTCAGACTTTTGATAATAGTCGTCCTCTAATGAGTCTGAATCATCCAGTCATCATCAATAGTCTGATGATTTCGCTCAGCGAACTTCGCTAGCATAGTTCGTTGAACCGTCTTTGTCGAGTCGTCGCCACAATTGTGTCAGTCGATAACAGATGAGTTGAGATTCAAAACGGCTCGGTCCTATTGGAGTTGAATTGGGTAGTCTCTCGAGTGATATCCTATAAATTACCGAAGTTATGGTATCAGATATGAATCTAAAGCTATCTCCAAGTCATACTATAACAACCAGTGAAACCGATCAAATCATGACAAAAGTATGTTCACCTTTCTCAGGGAATATAACGGTATGGAAACGCACCCTTTTCGAGTTATGTAGTCACTTCGTGTATATAACCGGCGTTTTACCCGATCTCGGCTTTCGTGTCATACCTCTCGTGCTTTGCCTGTGTTGTCAAGTCCCATCAGGAAACCCCCAACTGGCAAACGCATCGTACGTAAATTGTGCAATACGAAACCTACAGTAGCGGCGGGGAGGCGCTTCGTGTTCACCAGTCTACGCCTCCATCAACGAAGGCGGCCTCGTTCTGCAACTCCGACAGTTCCAATTTACCAACGTGCTCCTCATCAACTTTAATCATTAGCATTGCCTTCACTTCTCGCCCACAAGCTTGACACTGTGACGGCTTCTCTCGACACTCGAGGATGGTTTGCTACCTTGCATAGGAGGCCCTCGCGTATGGCATTTACTTTACATTGTGGTAGAGCCATGCGAACTGTGGGGTGACGTCCCAACAGGAGACTGACAACGACGGGTGAAGGAGGCAACTGGCCTGAACAGAGAGCTCAAGGCATGGAGGGTTTGAAATTTTCAATGAATTGTCACAATAGTAATAGTGAATGATAACAGTCTGAGAGAACAGTCCCATCAAGATCGGCTCAGGATCCAGCACGATCCCGCAACGGTAAGGCCAACCCCAGGGCCTTGGCTGCAACAATGACGTCCTCGAGGGTCACCCGTTGCTAAGATCCAACCTAGGAACCAAACGATGACTGTGAGACTCCTACCTCTCCAGAGAGAGCCTCCTTCTCTCCTCCTGCCAGAGCTCGCATTAAATCGTCCTCCTCAGCGGCATCCACCTCTGATACCATCTAAACCAGAAGCATAGTGACAATGGACATCAAGAAGACCTGACCTCGCTGTCGTGATCAGCTATAGTTGCCTCCCTTCGTTTTCTACTGCTGGCCAAAGCCTCACTGGCCAGCTTAGCCGACAAGGCCTCAGCCTCGAAAGATATCCTCCTTAGGGCCTCCTTGGACAAGGGCACTGCAGGGAGGATCCAAAGGTGGCCGAAGGTGTATCGACTACTACTCACCCCGGCTGATCAGGGCCTTGCTTTTGTAGCTGAGTAATGATTCTAATACGTGTGGAGGGACGACGGGCTTCACGCTAAGGACCTCTGGTGGTGGCTGTGAAGGGGCTACCATGCTCGCAAACAACTTGGCCCTAACGCGATAATATGATGCATTATACCATTACCCAGGTTTGAACCCGGGACCATTGCCAAGGTAGTTTAATATACTAACCGTTCCGCTAAAGAACCCGAGTTACTCTATCACACGCATGTATCAGCAGCAGTGCGATATTAGTTATGCATCGGCGGTCACAACAGTTCACCCAAGTAACGACATGTACCGCAAACTCCCCATTATAAGCCTTCAATGAACGCAACAGACAATGGTGAAGGACAACAATAAGCAGCATTCACATGTTAGACCCCACGAAGGCGAGTCCAATAATATCGGAGGAACTCAACAAAACCAACTTCACCCTTTTTATGGCGATCCAAACTACGCCACCATTCGTCCAACCTACTAGGGCGAATGGCCGCCACCTGAACAACAACACGAGTAAATCGATTTCGAGAGTTCCAAGATCAACTAGATAGCGTTACAAAACGGATAAGTCTTATTCCGCCGTTAATTGAATATAATATAACTATTAATAATACTCCGCCGGAATTGTCTTTCGTAGTCTTCGAATATTCTCCTAGGCATAATTCATCTCTCTATCTCACAACTCTAGTGTAGTGTAGCTGACCATAGAAACAACAAACGTTTATACTTACATAAGTGGATCAAAAACAGATAACGATTCATTCACTTGGACCGCAGCAGTGAAAGCCCCGATTCAAGACATTATACGTTTTCTCAAAAAGCCCGATCTCCTCAACCTACCCGTAGAAGCTGTAGTAAAAGGATCTCGAACTCG